ATATACGTGAGATATATATGGTTGACTTGCGATGTTAAATCGCATTTAAGGGATTTAATTTTATACATCCTATTAAAAAAAGTCGCTATTATTAAGTGTATATAATATGACCTTGCTTACCTTAAAAGGACTTAGGTCAAAATAAAAATTTGTTTTGTTACAAAAAGTGAAAGAGCTTAAGTCCATATACATATAGCTTAAAAAATAGAGAAAAAAAAACATTTAAATTATATTTTTAGATAATAGAAATAAATTTAGTAACAAATGTACTTCTAGTATCGGGAGTGATTTGAAGTAGTTATGGTGGTATATACCGCAATAAGTCCATCATGTGTCGGTATTTTAGTGATGTGATGCTTCTTATACTTTTATATAACGATGGCAATACAATATTCCCAATTTAAATAAATCAAGAATTTTAAATTCTGCGTTCTCATCCATGGTTGTTTTGTATAAAATTTTATATGGTTCATTTCTTAAAAATCGCATCCAGCATATTTGAAGCCAGTTTATTTTTTCTCCGTTGGTATTTTTGGATCTTTTGTAAACTGCTTCTTCCAAGAGTCTTGTTGATATAAAATCCTCTTGTTTCATTTCATTTAGTATGAAAGTGTTACCTTTCCTACATTTTTTTAATTATATTATAACAATCTTGTGGCACATGCAATAACTGATTTCTTTTTAACGACATTTATATAACGCCAAAATCTCTGTCATTAGGTAAAAATCGTCCTCCGCTTATTTGAAAAGTATCTAAAAAGATTTTTTTACAAATGAACCTTTTCCGTTTCTCTGACGTCTTCTTTTTACAACACTGCCGTCCGGTCGCTTCGTATAGCAATATATTTTGCTTATTAAAGTCTCCTAAGTTCCAAAAAATTTCGAAAATACGTTTTCTTTCTGTTTCATTTAAATTTTTCAAGCAGTCTTTTCGGCATTGGCAATCTTCATTTTGAAAAAACTTTGGCAGGAATAATTTTTCCCGATTGAGTATCGTATATTTTCCCTGAATTCCGTTTAATTTTACGAATTTTCTGAATATAAGTACCACTTCTGTGTTCTCTGAATCCTTCTTTGAAGGTGCTGTTTTGTAAATTCTCATTCTCAATTACTTCCTCTTCCTCTGTCGAAGAATGAACTTCTAAAATTCTCCTTCTTTTTTTAAATCTGTTGTACGAGTTTGATTCCTCTTCACTTTCAGAATCAAGAAATCTCGTTATTTTATCTTTTCCCATGGGTTTAATAATTTCTTTAAATTAAATATTATTTTGTTAAATTTCAATTTAATATCAAAACGTAATTTAAATTACCTTCATCACTGCTTTCAACATTTTGGGCCGCACTTTTTGACAACGTCAATAAAAAGTGGACTTAGGTCACTTTCAAAATTAGGATTTTCAGTATTTATATTATTTTGAAAATGTACGTGATACAAAATTTTCAAATGTACTAAGTATATATTCAATACCGATTTATTTTTTTTTGACAGTTCAGCATAAATTATAAATGTCACAAGTGCCAACTTGATAAAAGATGAAAATGGACTTAATGGAAACGTCAATTAATGATAGTATAATTGACGCGACAGTTGTCATCTTGTGTCAAAGCGAAGAATTAATAAAAAAACAAATATCTTGAGAAACTCTGGTATAACATTTATCTAATCACTGCACAAAACTGCATCAAGTATTCTTGTGTTAATACTGTTTATAATTGTTGTTTACGTTAGGTGTTCATCAAGAGTGAGCTTAAGGTTGGAGTGATTTACGTGACCGAAGGTCAAGGATTGGAAGAGGAGATATTGGACAACAACGACAATTCGCCTCTTTTCGACGAGTTCCTGCAGATCCTCGGCGAAAGGGTGCGACTGAAGGGCTTCGATAAGTACAAAGGAGGCCTCGACACTGTTCACGATTTGACAGGTAGTAAAATGTCAAAGGTTTAACATCAAAGAAGTACGATTTGCAAATGTTTTTTTTTTGTTTTCTCATTAAGGATTGTATTCGGTGTACACGAACTGGAGGAACATCGAGATCATGTTCCACGTGAGCACTCTGCTTCCATACGAGAAGCACGACTCGCAGAAGCTGCAGCGAAAACGGCACATCGGCAACGACATCGTCTGCGTGGTTTTCCTCGAAGCAGACAACACGTCTTTCTCCCCGGCCTGCATCAAAAGTCACTTCCTGCACACCTTCATCTTGGGTAAAGCGATCGCAACGACCATTATTTGATAACCATGGTAACCAATGTTTATTGTTCAGTGCGTACGTCGCCGAGGATAAAAAGAAAGCCGACTCGCTACGAGGTTTCCGTGGTGACGAGGGACGAGGTTGGCGCGTACAAGCCGTACCTGTGGGAGCAGAGCGTTTTCGACAAAGGGCCGATGTTCAGGGAATGGCTTCTGACGAAGGTCGTGAACGGTGAAAGAGCGAGTTATTCTGCTCCCAAATTCGCTAGAATGCAGGAGCGCACCAGGTCGCAGATGCTGGAGGACATCGTCGCCAATCTGCAGAATCACGCAGAAACTGGACAAATCCCTAAGCCCTATCGCAGAGGTAAAAACAATAACAATAGTTGTATTGAAATAGATTTATTGTTTCTTCGGAATATTTAAGACTACAGTTTATAGATGTAGATCAGTGGTTTCCAAACTTGAAGTTACTACGCCTCCCTCAAAAGTATGTAATCATTTAGAGGCTTCCCTTTCATAAAAGAAACGCGCATTACAGCAATATGGATAAGAGCACAGTAATATATCTACACTTTCTGGATTCCCTAAACATTCAGCTTTCATATGCATCTTTTGGATTCAATCTATGTATTATAGTTTTCGAGTAAATCAATAAAATGTAAATACACTGCTTTTTCGAGCATTTTTTAAAATTTGAACACGAATTACAGCCAAACGACTAAAACCACAGTAATATATTGATACTTCTCTAGATTCCCCAAACATTCAAGCTTTCATATGCATCTTTTGGATTCAATCTATGTATTATAGCTTTCGAGTAAATCAATGAAATGTAAAAACACTGCTTTTTCGAGCATTTT